GGGCTCCGGCGGCGCAGGATCTGGAGGCACGGGGCTGCCCGAAGCCGGTAGTGCTCGGGCAGCCCGGCTCTTAAACAGAGCCGAAGAGGAGCAGAGCCTCCAGCCGGGGCGGCTCTGCATAACTTACACAGTGTCAGTTACACAGAGCCGAAGAGGAGCAGAGCTGCGCTGGGGAAGCGCCGGCTGGGGGCGCAGGGTCTGGGGGCTACCCGGCAAACCCTGAAGCCGGTAGCACTGGGGCAGCTCTTTCCCCCTGGCTGGGAGTGGAAGGGAGGAGGGGGCGGAGTTAGGGTGGTGAAGGGGCGGAGTTGGGGCGGGGCTAGGGGTGGGAAAATGGGCGGGGCCAGGGCCCGTGGAGGGTCCTCTTTTTTTATTTATGAGATATGGTAACCCTATGTAGAATAGATCAGGCCAGGAGAATACTATGCTTGCTCAAAATGAGGATAGGAATGTTCTTTCCTAGTCTACATTTACCCATTTCTATAAGAAAATCTACTTGGAGTCCAAATTTTCCCTGACCACTAGTAAATCAAGGCAGTGTTCTGCCCTGAGCTAGAAATGGTTTGGTCTGGTATAGCAGACCATTTCCAATAAGTAACGATGTTGGTCTGTCAAACATGGGCATGCCATCAACTTCATACACAGCCAACAGTTCTGCTTATTTAGTGGTTGCACCTGCAGAACATGCAGCTTTTAAACTGTTTGTCTGTGGTCTGCCTGGTGTTTTAGCAGAGTCTCTACAATGATGCATTCTTACTTGGTATGCAGAGGATAATGCCATGTAGGATAAACCCCTTTAAACAGATCTGCTCAGAGGAGCATGCGATTAGTTTTCAATTTCAAGAAGTTTAGTTCCGAGTTCCAGGTGTCATTTACATGGGGCGGGGGGAGCGGAAGAGAATTAGAGGTACCTGGAAGAGAGCTCTTTCCTGACGTGAAGCTGCTCTGTTCTTATTCTCCTCAGATTTCCTGCCATTCTGACATACTCTTTATCCAGGGATTCTCTGTGTTCTTCTAAGAGATGGAGCTTTTTAATCCAGTGATTTATCTTCTCTTCTAGGACTTGCTTGAGGTCCTATTCATTTTTAAAGTTAAAAATGCCACATGGTTATAAGAGTATAGCATAAGGTTTACTGAACATGGCACTTTGAAGTGTACAGGATCTCTGGTCAGCAGAGACAGCCTCTCCCTATCTGCCATCCCTTAGTAGTCTTGTAAATGTCCATATACTAGACTGTCAGCAGTAAGTAAACAAGGATGGACTTCACGCAACATTGAGTTTAACCCCCCCCTCAGTTTTTTGAAGGGGAAAGACAGATAAGGACATGGCATCATAACAGCGTAACCAGTACAGCTGTTTGAAAAGTGGCTTTTCATCTATTTTTTTTCAAAGGAAGTAAATATTTTTGCAGAAAAAAATCTCCTTCAAAATCTTCCATTGAAATTAAAGACTTTTGAAATAAAAATTGGCTCCAGACTTAAAAAAAAAAAAATTCATCGCAAATGGAAAAAAATGGTAACAAGTGTTTCCTTTAAAAATTGTGGAAGACATTTTCTCTTTTAGACCAGCCCTAATAATCAGCAACACATAGAAGCTTTCCAGAAGGTTCAGAGCATGGCATTATACGCTATTTTACAATTCTTTATTTGTGGCTTCACATTAGGTAAAGCGACAGGCAGAGAGAGTGAAAGACTATGCCTTTTAGTAGCATGGGAGAAAGTAACTTCAGTTACAGCAATTGGAGTGTTTCAGGGTAGAGTTTATACGAATGTGTACCAGATTTAACCATGCTAAAGTGCAAGTTAAATGTTGTTTACTTTGTCTGAGGCCTATCTGGTCAACGGAGCAATGTCTTTCAGCAGGCGGCAACACCTTTCAAGAATGAACTCCAGATGGCAGTGAGCATGCACTGTAGAGGGACAGATATAGTGTCTATCATGTGATTAGCAAGACTGCAGTAGAGCACTACCTGAACACTTTTTTGGGAACTGTTTCTTGGCTACAATTCCACTTCTGCTAAGCTGGGGGTGAGGATTCCTATGTTAATATAACTTTTACAGAGTAGGCTAGTCATTGTATAGAACTGACTAACTGCTGAAATTTCTCATGGTACTTGAAAATTATACAAAAATCAGAAAGTTATTGCCCATGCTATTTACTCTCAAAGAAATGTCTGATCTTTCAGAAAGCAAGCAAGATCGTGATGAGAACTCCTTAAACAATTTAGACACCAGGCCTGGCAATAGACTGTTATAGTCAGGGAGGTGGTACCATTAAAACCGAAACATTCACCTTTTCCTTCTTGGTTCAAGGACAGAGCCTGGCTAATGGAGAGAGACGAGCTTATAAAGAAGAAAAAGAGGGGCATACTTCTTATATGGCAGTAAGCGTTGTCCAATTTCTCTAGTAGGACTATCAGACTACTTGGGTCCCATTGCAAGATCTTAAAACCACTAAGAACAACAACTTACCAGATGCAGAAGGACGACCATATTCCTTCCAAAATGACACAATAGGCACTTGGCTGCTCTTACAAGGTATTGCTGCAAACATCACTTATGAGCAACATTTCCCCTGGAAACATTTTCCCTACCGTGAATTGTCCACTCGGTAACTGCAATCTAGCCGCCGAATAAGAGCAATATTTGACATGTCACATCCCCCACTTACATCACTTTTTGGTGGCAAACAAAAAAACCACCCAAAAAAATCCCAAGAAGTCTCTCACTGAAAGGGGAAAAAAAAAAGATTATTCCAGACTGTCAAACTCTTGGGACTACTCAAAACCAAGTTGCAGTCAAATGAGAGCTACACAGATCGATTGTATGCAGAATGTGGAAGTAGAAAGATAAGCTTTGGCTAAATACAAAGATGGACAGTCGAATAACTGCTGTAAACATGGGCATGAAGGAAAAGCCCCAGATATCAACTAGGCTCTCTTTATATGATTCAAGGAGAAGGTGTAGGGAGCATTGCTTGCTGGACTTGCAATCAAGGGAAAAGCCCTTCGGCTTGCCTCTTCACTTGGATTGAATGATTTTAAGGCAAGTGACAATTGGTTTACCAGATGGAAGAAACACTTCAATGTTGCTTCCAAAAAAGGGAGCATGGCAAAAGCAGTCGGTGGACTCGCCAGAAGCTGAGCAATGGTACTATGAAAAAAATCCTCACATTCTTGAAAAAGTTTTCCCCAGCTGACATCTGCAATGCTTACTAAACAGGACTTTATCTGAAAGGGCTCTGGGACAGAGGACATGTAGAAAAAAAAATGGAAAACTAGAAGGAGGGAAAGCTTCAAAGGACGGTGCTTGTCTGTGCCAACCTGGATCAGAGTGACAAATGACTGCTGTTCATGATTGGGAAGTCAAACCAACCCAGATGCTTTCCACAGAATTTCAGTTAACTTCTCCTCAATTACCTCAGTTCAGTGAATGCCTGGGTGACAGGGGAGTTTTCATCAACTGGCTAAAAAAGTGTGATCGCCGGCTTCGCTTCAAAGCCTTAAGATGGGCCTCGTCTTGGGGTGTGTGTGGAGCAGTTATCCAGTGAGTGGCTCTCACTAACATTCACCTTGAATTCTTACCCCCTAGTGCTACATCTTTGATGCAACCTAAAGGGACATTCCCAATCAAAAATTGCAAACCGGATCCTTGCTGCTCTTGATGCAAACCCCACAGATGTTCAGACAGTCCTGAAAACTCTACATTCACTAGATTGTGTTCATCTTTCTTGTTGCCAAGGCAAGATGTAAAGCCAACAATTTCCAATGGTTTCAGGAAAAGCAAATTTGTTGTGATATTGAACAGTTTGACGACCCCCTGAATGATGCTCCACTTCAAGCAAGCATGGAAAAGGAGGACATGGTAGCAGCTGCGGATTTGCTCATATTCAGAGAGCTAACCCATGAGCAATTACTGAGCGCTGCAGCAAGGCCAGAGAAGTGAGCTTGTGTTGATGAAACATTTCATAATTAAGAGGAAAATCGGGAGAGTGAGGATGATTTTGATGAAGCTCCTCTGACAAACTCTGAGCTATTGAAGGTTTGAACAAACTCAGCACTTTTCACAGCTAGAGAGACTTGGTGACAGGGTCTGCAAGTCTCTTTGGGACATGGTGACTGAGAAGAAGCAGAGCAAATTAACAGTTTTTCATCCACAATGAGTGAGTTTATCCATTTCTAATTAATTTAGAAGTTGATACTCTATAAATAGAATACACTGATGTGGAATACTATTTTAATTTAGGTAATTACATTATTATTTGCTTAGCAGATGCCCTTATCCAGGGCAATTTACAGTGCATACAAAGAATTACCGTTAAATGGGAGTACAAAAAGGGTTCACAAATAAGAGCAAGAGGTTGTGTTTGTTGTCATGGTTGAAGTTTGATTTTTTTCTTAACATAAAAATAAAAACTAGATACTTTTATAATCACTCAGTACCACTTTCTTGATACAGTATAGTAGTAGGCTACGAACGCAGAACAGAACCCAGGTGTAAAATATGCAGTACCTATACTAATGTAATCCTGTAGCAGCAATAATAAACATACTTCAAGTTGTTACAATTCTAGATTGTTAGCACCTACTGTAGCTGTTTGACGTATCAGAAGAAGCAGGCTGCCTTTGGTCAGACGACACTCCCAAAACAGCAATAACTGCTTAGGAGCAACATAGCAAAAGGGCACGGATATGGTGCTACTAACGAGTGTCTACGGTTGTTCCTTTTAGGCTATCTTCCTGTTTCACCAATTGTTCATTGATAACAATGGATATAGTGGAAATGTTTTAAAAGAGGACGTAACATGTGCTCTGAGATCTGTACAGGCTGCCTGTTAGTTTCTGGGGTGGAATTTATAGCGTGAATTCTAACCTAGACGGTTTGAGATGATTGGTTGGGACCACTGCTCTTCTGAGATGTCAATCAGTGGCACTGACAAGGTGCACCCTCTTAGCTCCCATTTGAACTGGGGTGAGTGAAGAGATGTGTGTGCCTATTTTCCAAGAAGTTTGAACTAAACTCCCTAGCTTGGTCTGCCAAAGTCCAGTATGCTAACCCCATCTCCCTCCCACCCCTTCTTCTCGGGTAGTTTGGGTAAGTGCAGATAGGATGCACATAATAGATATAGATTTTTTTTTTTGCATGTTACTACTATAGGTTATAATTTGAGGCTATAAGGGCTGTCTTTCATGTTGGCATTCTTGCAACAGTTTTAAAACATACAATACTTAAATAAAGCTAAGAGCAGTGATGGACATTAACAAGTTGAAAACAAACCATGGTCTATTAGTACATAGACAAGGGAGAGATCTGCTAGATTAGAACTCTTTAATATCAAAGGCAATTCAGAACCAATGGCAGAAGCTGAAGTTATTTAAAAATATATTAAAATTTGAAGTAAGATGCAATTTTTTAAACAGCAAGGACAATAAGCCACTGAACAGCTTACTAAGGGATGTGGTAAATTCTCCATCACTTTGGGTCTTTAAGTAGATCAGATGTCTTGCTACTTGATATTATCTAGTTCAACCACAAGTTATTGGACTCTATATTGGTCCCTTTCTGTACAGAGAAAAATGTTGCAGGAATTATTGAATTAAATTCTATGGCTTTTGCTATGCAGAAGGCTAGACTAGATGTTCACAAGTCACTCCTGTTCTTCAAGATCTAGGACATTTTACTTTGAAGTAAACATGGCATCTGTCGCCTTTAGAGTGCAAACTTCTCTGATCAGTTGAGTACTTAGGGAGCTCAAGAGAAGTTTTAGTAGCCTGCATCTGGTATCCTAAACAGAAGTAGCAGCCTATTCCTAATTCACCACTCTGTTCCTTCTTTGATAGAAGGGTTTAGAAGAGGAAGTATACAGATGTTCTTCAGAGGTACGAGAAAAAAAGATTCCTGAACAGGACCTAGGAAGACAAAATATATAAAGTGGTACCCCTGCTTTCTCTTCCTGAAGAGACAGGCTGATGCAGAATGTCTTCAATAATGAGGTGCTAAAGCAAGGTAAGGAATTAGCTGGAGCACAGTGGAGGCTACAGAAGCATGACAGAAGCATACCTAGTGCCATTTTAAAATCTTCTGTAACAAGTCCCTTGTCCCCAATATCCAGAAAACAGCAATAGTTTTGTTTCAAAGAAACTCAGGCCAGGAAACTACTCCTGTAAATTAATAAGGGGGAACTGTATTGCGAGGAGAGCTGTGCATAGTTATCTAGCTCTGGACAGCCCTAAAAGGAATTTAGACAAATACTAGGTGTTTCATAAGTATACTGAAGAGAAGATCACTCATATAACTCCATTAGTGTTAATAGGAATTGCAGTTATGAACATGTACTCTAACAAAATGATAAAAAATTAATGCATCAGGCAGAAACATGTATCTAGCAAATAAAGCCGGTCTGAAAAGTGACCCGATTTTTTCTTTGTTTTTTTAGATTTCAAGAGAAAGGGGCACAGGATTAAAGTAGTTAGTAATACAGCTAATTTAATCCTTGTTCTTTGAATAATGACTTGCAACAGCTATTGTGAAAGAGGTAACCACAATTCAGTATGTTTGTTCCTTTCTGAGGCAGCTCTTGAGTAAAACTCTGTTTCTATATTGCAATAGCTTCAATTTAAGGACCAAACAAAAGAATTAAATGATTGTGTCATATTTCTAGGATGTCTTCTATTCAGAAGAAATAATATGATCTATAAACCTGACCACATGCTGTCTACTTTAGAGTTTGACATGCATCTAAAAATGTACGTAGTCACTTGCGTGGAAAGCATCATTTCACACGCTCTTTGTTAAATGCTGGATCATAGCAGAAATCTGACCAGTTCTTAGTTTGGGTAAATCTCCTGTGCAAGTCACAGGAAGTGACCAGCCCTGAACGCCCACATCCCCTTTTTTTTTTTTTTTTTTTAATATAGATGTCACAGAACAGATGGGCAGCATTAGTGGGAGTTAAAACAAGAATGGTTTTGAGACAGGTGTGGAACATGCTTAGCTTAGCTAAGAGAAGGAGGATGGCAAGATCATTATTAGAGTTGGTCAAAAAAGAAAAACAAACAAACAAACAATAGTTTTGTTGGAAATTGAAAAAAGTATTCTCATTTTCATTTAAATTTCCCCCCCCCAAAATTGATAAACCAAACCTAAAAACGAACAAAAAAAAATGGTTCTCAGTAAGAACAAGGGTTTTTCTTTTTGTTGAAAACCCCAGAAAATTTCATAAGTGAAATTTTTCCATGATGATTTGTTTAATGAAAAGCTAATTTTGGATGAAAAAAAACAAAACAAAAAAACCCAACAAATCACCACCACCCCGCCCACACACTTCCGCCAGTTCTAGACATACTCAGCCACTCATAGGTCTCAAGGGTACAGTTTCCAAAGTCTGTGTTGTTCTGTCCAGAGTGTATGGTCAATATGGGGGAAG